AAGGCCGGAGCCCCCGCTGGGGGACTCAGAGCGGCCGCAGCGCGAGTCCGGAGCCGGCGCCCCGCAGTGGCCGGGACCCATTGCGGCCCGGAGCGCAGAGGGGCGCCACCTACCCTGGTCCCGTTGCGGCGCCCAGAAGGCCGCGGAGGACGCGACGGTGAGGCTGAGGATGCCCGTGGGGGGTGGGAGGGGATCCCAAGACGCTGCCCGCAGCATCCCCCGACTGCCCGGCTGTGGGGCGGCGGCCGCAGCGCTCCGCACTCCGGGACCAGCTCTGCCAGGGTGGGGTGAGCTGCTGGACGTGTCGCACCGAATTCCCTGCCCCGACACCTCTCCGGGTTTGGCCTCCGAAAGACCCTCTTGTTTCGCCTCCCTATCTCGTTCTTCCCAACCCAACCCCCTCCGATCCAGCCCGCAGCCCCTCTGCGCACCCCCGTCGGATGCGGCGCGCGAGGGAGAAAGCCTGCGGCCCTTCCGGCTCTCCATCCCAGCCCGCCCCCGCTGTCCCTTGTTGGGCTAGGGGTACCCGGGAGGATGCTGGCCCTTTAAACCTTTGCTCCCCACTCAGCGCATCTTTCAGCTCACCGCCCGCGCCACTTCCGACAGCTGGCAGCCGCGGGGAGCCCCGGGGAGCCGGCAGGTACGGGGGCGTCGGTGGGGCCGGGGAGCGGGTGATGGAACAGCTGTGCTCGCCCCTCCCCCGCCCCCAGAGGGGCCGGCGGCGGGACTCCTGGGCGCTCGGAGAGCAGGTTAATCATTAACCCTCCGCTCGCCGGGGCCCCGCGCCACCCGGGAGTTGCGCTTTGCCCCGGCTTCCCAGGTAACCGACGAGGTTGCCCATCTTGCCATCCTCCTACTCCGCCCCCCCACCCCTCGCCACCTGTCGCCAGGCGGGAGCCCAGGGCTCAGCCTTGCGCACCCTGCAGACCCGCGCCCTAGAGCCTGAATTAGGTTCTTGCCGCTAGCTTCCAAGGGCGCGGAGTAGGGGCGCCCTGGACTCACCCTGCGCGCCCCCTCATCGAACACCCCTCCCCCAGGGCCGGCCGCCTGGCGCCATGCCGGGTCTCTACTGCCCCACCAGCTGGACGCCGCTGCCCCTCACGGACTCCTGGGTCCGGGCCTGCGCCAACGGGCCCTGCCTCAGCCTGCGGGCCAGGCTCCCCTACCACAACCCGCGGTCGCAGCCGGTGGACGGTGAGGCCCGGGCGCGGGCGCGGGGCGCGGGGCGCGGCTGCCGGGCGGGGTCTGACACCGCCTCCTGCCCGCCCCCAGGCGTGTTCGTGTACCCGCTGGCGGAGGCCGAGGTGGTGTCGGGCTTCGAGGCCGAAGCGGCCGGACGGCGCGTCTCCTTCCAGCTGCAGAGCCGCCGCCGCTCTCAGGCCGCCTGCTGCCGCGCGCTGGGCCCGGGGCTGGGGGCCGCCACTCCCCGCCGCTGCGCTCAGGGTGAGTCCGGGGCGCCCGCCCCGCCCCCCAAGGCGGGCGGCTGATCTGCTTCCCTCACCAGCTCTGCGTCCCGCCCCCACCTCCCTCCAGCTACTGATTTTTTCATTCACTGATTCATCCCTTTATTCAGCAGTCGTGGACAGGGCACCCGACCTGCGCCAGGTGCGGGGGAAAATGACCCAGGCCCGGCCTGAGGACTGCACCCAGGGGACAGACACAAACCAGGTGGCATAGCTCGCGACGCCACCTCCCTCCCCCCCTTACCGCCCAGGCGACCATAGCCTCCCCTGGGTACTGCAAAGGCAGCGCCCTCCTCGGCAGGCCCCCTCCAGCCCCTTCCCTTTTCCGGTGTAAACCGGCCAACTCCTACCTGAACCGAGCATGAACTCTACCTGGCAGACAAGGCCTCACTGCCGTCCCGTTCTATCCTTCTCCCACACGAGGTACCAAGAGCCACACTGACAGTTCGGTCACACCTCCCTGCTTTTACTATAAAAAAACAAAACCCTTTGCCTCGAATGGATTCCGACTCATGGCGACCCTCTAGGACAGATTAGAACAGCCCCATCGGGTTTCCAAGGAGCGGCTGGTGGATTCGAACTGCCAACCTGTTGGTTAGCAGCCAAACGCTTAACCACTTGGCCACCAAGACTCCGTTTTGTTTTGTTTTGTTTTTACTACTGAGGCCCCTTCTAACTAGCAAACTTCTACTTGCCCTTAAGACCCAGCCCAGTGTCACTCCTGGGAAGCCCTCCCTGACCCCTCCACGAACAACGAATCACACTCTTCCTTGCTCCCCGGCCTTTTGGTCACAAACACTTTTTGCGTGGAGTATTGTCACGAGTCCACACTCTGTCTCCTCTCTGGAGCATTAGCCCCTGAGCCTGGGACAGGGTTTTCGTCATCTTCCAGTCCAAGTACCTGGCACAGAACCTGGCGCAAAGGGGCTCTGTGGGTGCTGGGTGAGGGGATAGAAGCCCAGCCCAGTGCTAGGTTCTGTGGCTTGCACTTCATTCTTTCATTTCTTCACTCATTCATTCATTTGATTCCTGCATGTGGGATTTAGCATCCGGGTAAGAAGGACAGGAATCCAGCAGAGCTGAGAGTTGGCATAAGCCTAGTAAGTGGTTAGAGGCCAGTGTGAACTCTGGGCTGAGGCCCCAGGAAAGTTCCAGAAGGAAGGTGGAACCAGCATTTGACTATAAAGCATACGCCCCCGAAAAAAAATCAAACCCATTGTTGTCGAGTGGATCGTGACTCATAGTGACCCTACAGGACAGAGTAGGACTGCCCCATAGAGTTTCCAAGGCTGTAATCTTTACGGGAACAGACTGCCACATCTCTCTCTCACGGAGAGCTGGGTTCGAACCACCAGCCTGTTGATTAGCAGCCAAGCACTTAACCACTGTGCCACTAGGGCTCCTTCAAAAGAAGGGTAGGACTTGGTTAAATGGAAAAGGAAAGGCAGTTCAAGCAGGAGCAATGGTTTAAACAAAGGTTTGTGAGCAGGGTCTACTGAGCAAGGGAAATAAAATACCCCACGTCTATAGTGCTTTCGTTTTTAGAGCCTAGTCACTGGTATCGCCTCGTATACTGCCGACAGGTATATAGTGCAAGTCCTCTTTCATAGGTGATGAAAATCATAGCAACAGCCAGTCGCTGTGTATTATTGTCTATCGGGTGCCGAGCATACACAATCTCCTTTATTCCTCAGTGCGATCTATGGGGTATAGTTATTATAATTCCCATTTTATGGGTGAGGGAATGGAGGCTGCTGAGACCAAGAGAGTTACCGAGGGACACAATTAGAAGTGACTGAGGTTCAAAACCTGACCCTGCGCTGTCGTCACTGAGTCAGGCTGCCCCAAGCCTCTGCTGATTGGGAGAGGAGTCCCTCTTCCTTCTTTTCCTTCCATTCCTTCCATCTTCCTCCCCTCATATATTCAGCAAGCATTTCTTCCAAGAATGAATAAGTGGTTATTGTGGAGAAGTCAGGTAAAGTAAGGCTGATTGGGAGGGTAGGCTGGGGCCAGACCCTGCAGGGCCTGGACTGTCCCCTGCACACAGCTGGCCTTTATTCTTTTAGCAGCTGTGGTGATCGCCACAGCTCCAAACCAAAAAAAACCAAACCCACTGCCGTCAAGTCGATTCTGACTCATAAAAGAAACCTACCATCTAAGTAGAAATGGCGTGCTAATGCAGCTGTATGTCCTGTGGCCCAACCAATTGCTGCCCCTAAAGTCCTCCGGGGTAGAAAACTCTGGAGCCACTTGCAGTGGGCAGTAGGGAACTCCTGAAGGTTCATAAGCAGGGGAATTTGTGAGCAGAGCCGGTCCCAGGCCAGGGGAAATGTCAGTCCCCAGGGGAGAGTCCTTTAGGACGGTGATGCCCAAGGGTTGAATGGTCAGGGGCAAGCAGGGCCAGAGGGGGCAGAGGGGATGGGTCCCACCTTGGGGTGGTGTGGACATGTCTCAGTACCCCTTCTCTTCCTCAGCCCCCCATTAGCAGTGATGTCACTGCCCCCCCTTGCTGATGGCAGCCAGATCCTAGGACCATCAGCATGCCTCTCCTACCTTCATCCCATGCCTCCATCCTGCGTCACTGAGCTGGTCGCCGGTGGCCACCAACCACGTGAAGTCTCCCTTTTCCAGGCTCCCCTGCTTCAGTGCCCACCGCATCTCTTTTGCTTCCAGCCTCCTCTGAACCCTTTCCTCCCTCATTGTAGGTCATCTCGTCTTGGATCTGGCCCAGGCCCGGTCCACGCTGGTGCTGCCCACAGGCCTTATCGCCGCGGCCGGCACCATGACGGTGACCCTGCGCAGCAGCCGGGAGCTGCCCTCAAGGCCTGACGGGGTGCTGCGTGTGGCTTTGCCCTCTGTGCTCACCCCACTGGCCCCCCCAGGCCTGCCAGGGCCCCCCAGGCCTCCGGGGCTCTGTGACGACAGGTTGGGCCTATGGTGATTCTCTTCACCCCTCCCTCGGCTTCTCTGGGTCTAGTGCGGGTGAGGGGGCCCTGGCAGGGTGCCCGGGGGATTGGCAGGGTGGGGAAGGGGTGGGGCCAGTCAGCCAGAGGGTCGAGGGGCCTTCTTAGGGGCTCAGCCACACTCTCCTTTCCAGTCCCACCAGCTGCTTTGGGGCGGGCAGCCCTCAGGAGGGGCTGGCCTGGAAGGAGCCATCTGCCCCTCGGGATGTGTTCTCAGGCCCTGCCCGCTGCCCTGCCCCATACACCTTCTCCTTTGAGATGCTGGTGACTGGGCCATGCCTGCTGGCAGGTGGGTGATCTGGCCTGGCTCACATCAGAACAAGAGCCTCCCTTCAAATGCTACACCCCTCCCGGCCCTTCAAATGCTACACCCTTCCCGGGGCTGATGACTGGCAAATGATACAAGGCTTGGGGATGGGAGGGGAAAAAAAAGACAGGGACCTAATCCTTAGGGGCCTCCAGTCTGACAGTGGGAACACCTGGCCGCTTCTACACAACACACACTCCCCGTAGGTTTATGGGTTTATTTCTACTCCAGCCTACCCACCAGTGGGAAGAGAGGAGCTTACAGCCAGTCAAAGTGATGAAGTGGAGTTTCCTTCTGCAAGAGGTGGGGGGAGGATGCTAAGTCAGCAGTTGGCTGATGTGTGGACTTGCTGACCAGCCAGGAACAAAGCTGGCATCCTCCTCCCAGTCCAAGAAAGAAGATAAATCCCTTGTCCATCCGACCTTATAGACCAGGCCCTGAGAGCTGAATTGCCTCAGCCATGGTCCCTGCTGTTTGGGCTGTTGTCTGGGAAGATGATGTTTGTGCTCTTAGTACTGGCTTGGGATGGGGGCAACCCTCACTTCTCCCTGCTTCTATGTCCCTCAGGCCTGGAGAGTCCTTCTCATGCCCTGAGGGCAGACGCCCCCCCCCATGCCAGCTCTGCAGCCACTGTCTGTGTCACACTGGCAGAGGGCCACCGCTGTGACCGGGCCCTGGAGATCCTGCTCCACCCCAGTGGTGAGGGACTAGGGTGCAGTGGGCCAGCTCTGACCTGCTTCTGGACCACGTGGGCAGCACTGTTCAAGTACAGGTGTTTGGGCCCCCAAATGGACCGAGTCATCTGTGAGGCAGGGCCCTCCCTGGACAGTGGAATTGGGCAGCTGGGATCCAGAGGCAGGATTTCCCTGACGGAGCTGTGTCTCGCCGTCCCCAGAGCCCCACCAGCCGCACCTGATGCTGGAGGCTGGCAGCCTGAGCTCGGCAGAGTATGAGGCCAGGGTGAGGGCCCGCCGGGACTTCCAGAGGCTGCAGCGAAGGGATAGCAATGGCGACCAGCAGGTACGCACGCACTGGGCCCTGGCTGGCCCCTGGCCTCACTGCTGGCCACATGTGCATGCGAGGAGCAGACGAACAGGGTGGGGACCTCTGCTCTCAGCAGCTGCCACCTGCCACCCCAGAGGGCAGATGAGTATTGTCATATGAGGGCCCACGCAAGTCTCCCTGGGATGGTCTTAGAGGAGAAGGACTAGGTCTGACATAGGCAGAAGACAGCCACGTGCTTCTGCCCCTGCCTTTGTCCAAACCCCTCTGGGTGGATCAGATAGAAAAAGGCTCCAGAGCTGGGCCCTGCTGCTGACTCTGGTCGGCTGCCCTGAGCCCGGCCCAGGATGACTGGGGGCTCCCGCGTGCAGCTCTGGTTCCTGCAGCGCCGCTTCCACAAGGACATCCTGCTGAACCCTGTGCTGACGCTCAGCTTCTGCCCGGACCTGAGCTCCAAGCCCGGGCACCTGGGCACAGCTACGCGGGAGCTCCTCTTCCTGGTGGACGGCAGCAGCGCCGCACACAAGGCAGGTGGGGACACGGCGTGGGGCAGGCCTGGGGCTGGCGGGCGGCCTCTCACAGCCGGGAGTTGTCCTGGTGCGTTGAACACCATCTTCCAGAGAGGAAACAGGCAGCAGCTCCTCAGGGGCTTCCCTGAGAGAGCAGCCCCAACCCCCCGAATTAACACACTCATGCACAGTCACACACACACACACGTATGCACACGCACACATGCACACGTAGGCGCGCACACACACACACACACACACACACACACACACAGTCTCCTCTCTCTCATACTCAGTCCCACGCAAACCTGCAGTCTCTCCCAGACACTAAGAGCCCTCTCTTACTCTGGGTCACACACCCAGTTACAGAGACTCCACTTTCATATATACACATTCAGAGTCTCACACACATACCTCTGAGTCACACACACATAGACAGGGTCACATACACAAAAGCCTCTCACACACTCAGAGACTCACACACTCCGAGTCTCCCTGACACTCCCAGGCTCCCTCCTCACACACCCTCAGTCTCCCCCTATATCCTGAGTCTCACCCTCACACCCTGAGTCTCCCCCCCAC